CTGCTCTGACATCGGACAAAACTCTACTTTGAAATATATAGGGCACTTTGGTCGAATTCAATTGGAAAATGAGGTCAATAAAACTACCGAATACTCTGTTTTTGGATACTGAGATGTTGAGGCTGTTGAGTATGATGGCCAAAGCCCATTCAAAACTTTTTATCCCAGATAAAATGTTAACTCATGATTTTCCCGTTCTTGCTCAATTTTAACGTTGATCTACCTGACACTGCATTAATGCGACAACACTCGTTAACCACCTTTAAGTAATACTTTGGAAATATTCCTGCAGCTGTAAGCTTCACTTTTTGCTCCACGAAAATAGTACTGCCATATATATAAGTATGTATACATGTAGATATTTATGTTTGTGAAGGCTCGTAGTTATCAACAAACGTGCCTTAACAAGAGTAGTCAATCTGGATTTGTATTTAGCGAAGCAAAAGTTGCCACTCATGCTCTCAGCACCACTCTACTTTGTATTAAATGACTGTTTGTTTACAAAAATACGAATATTTCACGTTGCATTTAATTTTTTTATTATCTACAATTGTTATTTGTGTTTGTGTATTTCTATTACTCTTGCGTCATTGCATATATAGAATCTGTTAGATGTGCGCAATTATGCAGTAATTGAGTGTATCGGAGCTGTTGCATTCTTCGCATTCTTCTATTAAAATGTGGTTAAAGCGCATGCGCAGCTATGCGGCAACTCAACGACTAGCAGTTATGTTCATGCAAGCATACTTATTTATGTGTATTTAAAATAACACAAATATATGAGCTCTTGAAATATTTCTTCCTAAATTCTTAGTCATTATAGCTTAAAACATGGAAAAATGCTGAGTTAAAAAAAAATTTCAACTATTTGAATACTTAATTTTTAACTGGGACATCTGATTTCTATAGCGCGAACACCCAGAAATGATCAGCGAGATGAGCTGAGTCTATTAAGCCATATCCGTCTGTCCGTCTATCTGTATATACGCGAACTAGTTCCTTAGATTTTGGGATATCGGTCTAAAATTTTACACACGCAATTTTCTATCGCTAAATTTTTTAATTCTTGGCTTACCATAACATATACCTGCCCTAAAATGCGACCGACCAAAATCATGTCTTTGTATGGAAAACCTTTTTATCCGATTAGATATCGTTACAAAATTTGGCATGAATTATGGTCCAAAGCAGCGAAATAATATCCGAACAAATTGTTCCGTTCCAATCACCCTAGCATATAGCTGCCATAAAAACGGATCTATCAAAATCAAGTTCTTGTATAGAATTTGTATTATTTTTAAAGGACATTAGCTTCGATGCACCCGTAGTTGATTTTTTTTTATCATATGGAATATGTCTTAAATGATGTGAGCGAATTTTTTTGTATTGGTTAGCACCAATTTTGGTTCATGAAAACCAAATTCAATTTTCATTTTACATTTTTTAGTAACCTCTTTGCTTTTTTTTTTTTTTTTGATAAAAACTATATATTAATAAAAAAAATTGTTGTTTTTCTAAGTAATTAGTTAACTTCAAGATGAAGAAATATATATACCATACACCTATAGTAATCTTAAACTAAACAAATGCACTGTATTTCACATTATAACACATTATTGCAATAACCCTACCCTCAACCGCGCATATGGTTTCATTAACATTAAAACTGACGAAATGCGTCTGTGTTTCTCCAAAATCACTTCGCAAGAAATTATTAGCCAGCGCCGGCAATTAACTTTCTGTCTCGTTTCCGTTAACGCACTTTGTGCATATTAAGGAAAAAATCGATAACAACAAAGGCTTAGCAATCGCTGCAAAATAAAGTAAAACGGTAACAAATAATATTACAATAAACGCTGTAATTTGTGTGGCGGTAAAACCGCATTTAAGCGCCGATTTACAATATTACATAATTTTGTTTCTTTACCACTCATTTCAAGTGTGTTCGCATGCCTGCGGGTGTGTGTGTGTCAGTACGGTGCGCATGTGTACGTGTGTGGTAGATAACGTACAGCAAATCATACGCGACGCTCCAATTGCAAGCGAACCGCCAAACAAATCGACCAGCAGCTGCTTAGAGGCAGTAAAATGGCAATAAAGATAGTAAAGGCTTAGTAGAGTGCCATAGTGCCCTCAATTGTGCAGACACAAAGGTACGCAGGCATATACTCGTGTGTGTTGGTGTATAGGCAGTCTCAGCTGGTGCGTATTGGTAGTAGGGGTTTTTAGATACAGTGGAACTCGGTTAATATTAATAAGTGCTCCACAAGCTTGTGAATAAGGTAGTGTTGTGTATAAGGCGGTACAAACCTAACTTTTAATACTCGCAAATTAATCAAAAACTATGTTAGCCATTTAACTTGATATTTTGCTTAGTTGTAAGGAATCAATCGGTACAGCATTAAGATTTCGAATATCTCTAGTATCCTCCTGTTCATTTGGCAATTGTTTAACGAGCTGTTTAGTTCCTTCCCATTTATTAAATTATCTACAAAGTATATACATATAAAATTGATCAGCGTGAAGAGCTGAGTCGGTTTAGTTTTTGAGATAATGAAGCTGCTCATTTGTCGAAGCCGTCAATATCGGATCACTATACGATATAGCTGCCATACAATCTGGATGATCAAAGCCAAGTTCTTGTGTGAAAAACTCAAGAGATCTTCAAGAAATTTGGCATAGGTTATTGTCCAAGATCACGCTACGAACTCCGAATCCAAATTGCTCATATCGGTTTACCATAGTATATAGCTGCTTCACAAATTGACCGATCAAAATAAAGATGAAGATCTTTTTTTAATCTTTTTCAGTATAAAAAGTGCACTTGTGAGGCTGTTTTTTTTGTTTTTGACTATATTCTAGGTATTAATTTTCTTCCTTTTTTCATGCATTTCCCAAGTACAATTATGTTGTAAAATCAAAATTTAAAGCGTGGCCTCACTGTATTTGGTTAATTTAGATTTTTGTCCACAGTTGATTCACTGCACATGCGCAACGTTGTGATTCTTTAATGAAGTGTTGGTATGCTACACATTGAGGCTCGATTGTGAAATCATTAAGAGTAGTAAAAAGCCCTTTACGTCGGAAAATACAAATTAAAGTGTTGAAACTACAGTAGTTTATAATATATAAACATGCAGTGATGAAATAAATATATATGCGTAGTATAAGAATTTACGAACAATAGTGGCGTATCACCACCCTCTAATAGGTTTAAGTTATATAAGCCAAACTTGCTTAGATCAAGGTTTGATAGCCCCTCTTACCCTCTTTATACAATCCGAAAATGACTAGAATCAGATGATAACCACGCCTACTTACCATATAACATATTTGTATATTCCATATGATTATTTTACATTACAGTATTTGTGCAAAAAATGTCTTCAAGATATGTAATCTCACAGTAAAAATGGTCGAAATCTGATTTCAAGCTCCCAGATTCCGAATATGTAGAAATATACTCTGTGATTATGACTGAATTTTACCGCAAATGTGGGTCAATCTGTGAAAAATATTAATGAAATTCAGAGAGTGACTTGCTTTGATAATTATATGCCCTAGTGTTCAAAATTGATAAAATCGAATCAGTGCCCCTTTATATCTAATACACTGATTTTCGAGACCTTCCCTAGACCCAATAAACCCTATTTAGCGATTATATATTCAATTTATTGGATTTCGTCCTCTTGTTTGAGTTTAGTTACAACCGAACTTCTATGTCGTTCTGAAAATTACACACAACTTGCAAACGCGAAGTTTACAATAAAAGGATTTTTCCCAAACTTATTATTGACATGACTCTTCTTGAATGATGACTCTGGCGACAGTGCCCTACTGTTGGAAAATGTAACTGAATTGTTAGATATTTTGATTTTAGCCAATTTAAACTCGCAGATACAAAACATTGAACCCTTGTCCATTTTTCAAAATCACGAAATATTGAATACCAATTTACACTGCGATCTATCGTTTTGGGTGCCATTTATCAATCTCGTTTATGCAAATATGCATTTGACAATGCTATATCCATTGAAATGTCATCTCGATGCAACTTAGAAGATTCAGGAAATGCAAGCAGAACCCATTTTGTTCCTAATAGATTATTTAGTTTGCCACGATGTTTGTAATACCCAAAAGCAAACGTCGGAGACCCTGTAAAGTATGTATATAAATGATCAGCGTCAATCTGAGACGATATAGCCATGACCGTCTGTTGTTGATCTATAAATACGCGAATTAATCTATCAATCTTTGAGTTATCGATCTAAAATTTTGCAAAAGTTTTGTTTTACCAAGAAGCTGCTCAATTTTGAGAACCGCTGATAACAAAATAGCTCTCAAGCAAACTGAACGATCCAAGTCAAGTCCTTGTATGAAAAACTTTTTTATTTGATACGAAATGTAGCACTGATTACTATCCAAGCCATCGCTACAATCTTTGAGCATATTGGTAAGATCGCTTATAGCTGCCATACAAACCGACCTTCTGATCAAAATCAGAATAAATTAGAGATATTTTTATACCCTTTTATGCTACGAAAAATGCACCTGTTAAGGGTACTATAGCTTCGGTAAAACCGATGATAATTATTTTTCTTTTTATGTGTATCGATAAGCAGAATATTAATCACTAATATTTTTTACTAAGAAAATCCACTGAACTGCACTGGGCTGGTGAGAAATTGAGACAACTATGTAACTCTACTTCGACCGAGGTAGCTAATAAATTGTATATCTCTTAGGCAGAGTACTATAAAATTATATTCTTCTTTAATGTTAATAAACAGCTCTTATGAATTCAAAGTAAAAAATGTTTAAATTGAGAAATCTTTAAAAGCTGTGAGATCCATTTTAAATACTATAAAATTAAAATTGAAAAAAATTTGATGAAAACGAGACTAAAAGGACCGACTTTTCCTCTATGTTTCTTTGAATTCTACTATAACTGTACTTTTACTATCTAAACTTAAATTATTACTTTATGTAGGAAAACGCACCTCTTTCAAGTAATTTAAGCCGGAAGCTGTTGGTGCAGTGTCGCGTCTTCTGCTCGTCTGCCTACAGCTCTTTTTATTGCAGCAGATTTCCCAACACCAATAAAACTGTCATTTGCGTCTGGTATGTTGTTGCTGCAGTGCAGGTGTAACCGATGCACACTTTAATTAGGCATTAGTATTAGCAAGTGGAAGACTTTTTATTATTTATTTTTTATATTTGTTATCTTTCAACTATTAAGTTGATATTGGGGTTTTACAGATGGTTTTCCGTTATGAAAAAACAAATTTCTTGTCAATTATACAAATATTGTAAACCCTTCGTTATATTATGTATCTATAATACAAATAATTTTCGCAACACAATTTGAACACTTAAATTAAATTTTTTTTCAATTTGCTTGCAAAAATCCACTCCAGACGCTTCAAATACCTTTTTGCAATCACACAGACACCCAAATTATTGGTATACCGTTAAGCCGTTAAACGCTAACAAAAGTCCACCAACGAAACGAGCAGGAAATATTATTCGCCAAAAGTCGACACGAGCGCGCACACAACCGCTCCACGTTAAACACGTTCACTGAGTAACATCAACACCGCGCCAAAGGTGGCAAAATGTTGACAATGAGGCCAACAAACCAGCCATCATCATACCACAGCGCTTGCAGAGAGCCCAGCACACAAGTGCCGTTTCAGACAGGGATGCAAAAGAGTCTGATCTTTTTCAAATTTTCTTTTGGTGTCGCTCTGGGCATTCACACGGTCAAAAAGAGTCCAGCAACTCGAGTCTAGTTTTTCTGCATTCCTTTTCACAAAATGTTCGTAAATATTTGTGCGGTTCGACTGCGCAACACCGCGCAACACTGCGTGCTGCGTATTTCATTTGTATGTTGAGATGATGGTCACACATTTTGCTTGCAATGAATTACCATGAATATGGTAGAACAATATGCATAATACAAGTACCTATCCGCTAAATAGTTTCAAAGAAATACTAAAGACGGGAATTTCCTAATCCACAAGAATGTATTGAATATCCGCTACTAATATTTTCAAGGCCAAATTTATAATAGGAATTTCCTAATCTTTAAGTATTAAAAACTCATCATTTCTTTACTCCGTATTAAACATTCATAATTTCTTTACTCCATAATCTATATCTTAATTTTCTCCTTATTTACAATTTGTCATAATATTTCTTTTATTCTATGCATACATATTTGCATATACATACAAAAATAGATAACAGAACTCAAATTTGCGATCGAATTCATTTGAAACCGAGCGCTCTTGCAACCATTCAAAGGATTTGAAAGTGAAAAGGAATGCTGAAAAGGGTAGCAGCGAGCTGTTACGAAAAAGAACACAAAGCGTGCCACCCGAACACGAGTGGCACGGTCCCTTCGTCTTTCCTCGTCGTCCCCTCGCCCACAATAAACTGGTTTGAGACTCTTTTGCGTCCCAATGTGAAACGGCTCCAAGGTGGCGCAGACGACAAGGCAACCGATGCAAAGCAACAACAACTCAAGGCAACTGGTGGCAAAAGAGCGGCGCAACAACAACAGCGCTGCTGGAATTTACTCTTCAATTGCAGTCTTGTTGACGTTGTTGGTGTTGCAACGAACGCGTTCGAAGCCAGCCAAATCGGTGCTCGAACTGAGTGAATTGGCGCTTGAGCGCACAATCGAGCCGAAAACAAAAATTATGCATAACTTGACTTAAAAAATTTACAAGTTTGAAACGCGTTTGAGTGCGCTCACTGTTTCGCATTGTCGCTAATTAGCAATTCACTGAACTACATACCGACATAACTAGATGTAGCACACAAAAAAGCAAAAACAACAATGCGCTTTAACTTGTATTTTAACAATTAAGCTGAGAAATGACTGTTCGAAAGAAATCTCTATTCTTGAATATAAATAATACTTTGTTGGTTACTAGGAGGTACAAGCAAAATTCCTACAGGCAGAGACAACATGGAGCCCGCTCTATGAAGCGGGGAGCAGGTTTTATGAGGTAACTTGTTGTCGATATTATGAATAAACTAAAAAGTGTTTATATTAAAAAATAAGCATAAATTAGCGATTTTTACCGTTATGCGCATAACTAGCTCTAGAGACTCCTAAAATTAGTAACTTATTATTTTTTCAAGAAAAAAATTACTGTTTTTTTCGAGTTAGAAGCGATCGCAAACAAGAATCCTGTTGCAGTGAAAATTCTCACTTATCGATATTCTCCCTACAATAACCTATGGCCGAACAAAAATCAAAAATTTGCCAAATGGCGCCGGTTTTTTAAAAAAGTTAAATATTACCAAAAATGTTGGTCATTTTCGGTCTGATCACAAGACTGATACGAAATTGCATGGAGAGCTCTCCAGAATGTGTAATAGCTCAAACAGTCACTGATATTCCTCCCTTTCGTACGTAATCTGATACGACTAATCTTATGAGAGCGTAATGTAAATGAACACTCACCACCGTTTCTACAAACCGTACGGTAGGATATCCGCGAAAATTGGATTTTTCCCGTAGCAACGTGTGAGCTGAGAGTGAGAGAGCTATCTCTTGCAAAGTAAGGTTGCCAGTCTCGCTATTTGGTAGTAATGAAAAAATAAACTTGAATATATTTTAAATATTCTTGAAATAACTCAAAATCACAGTCGAATGCACTTATTTATAAATAGGTAAACTATTTTTAATAGTTGGATTTTAGTTTTGAGCTTTTACATTATGAAAAGTTATAACTAAAAAACTAAATGTGTCAAAAATCGTGTATACAAATAGAACAATGGCAACATTGGTGAAATTAAAACAAAATTTAACAACTGATTTCTGCGTTGCAACTACGGGCATACCTTCTGATAAATTTGGGTTGATACGGGCAGTAAGTACGGAAGGGAGGAATGTCAGTGACGGTACTACGGTGACTAGTTGTGAACGTTTTTAAGACCAAAACTCATTCAATACTATCGATCAACCACCGTATGCATCGGATTTGGTCCCATGCGACTTTTTTTTGTTTCCAAAATTCTAGATACCACTCCGTGGATCCCGTTTCGACTCGATTGAAGCGGTAAAAGAAAATTCGCAGAAGGAACTGAAGGCGATCTCGGACCCGGACCTACAAAGCAATTTTCGATGATTGGAAAAAGAGGTGGCATATGTGTATCACTTCAGAAGGAGCATAATTTGAGCTTGAGGAATGTGAAAATTCAACTTACTCTTGCGTAGAATTGGTATATCAAATCATAGTGAGCCGATATCGGCGGTTCTGACAAATCAGCATCTTCTTAAGGAGAAATGAACATGTGTAAAATTTCAGATTGATGAAACTTAATATACCCTGTTCAAGATAAGATTATAACAATATTTGCATGCAAAGTTCTAAGGTTATTCAATTTTCTCCTAAAACAACCCACTGTGTACCCATCATCATAAGCATATGCACACCTTGTTTTTCCTCAGAGTGCCTCTTGAGCGCGCGGCATAAGAGCAGACGCGCCAACACTCAACTAGACGACAACAACAACATAGCGCTTAAATGCGCATGCACTTAAGTTACTGGACTGTCTGTTTTAAGTTTTAAGCCGTGCAAAATTCATTGATGGAGAGTTAATGTGTTTTTAATATTATTAACTACAGTTTTTTTTGCAACTCAGCAGCTCAGCGTACACCAGCGCTAGAGTATTTCTTAAGCTTTATGTAAGTGGTAAGCGTGAAGAGAATGCAAATTTCTGTGTATTGTCTTGGGCGTTTCGCATTGCACTTAATTTGTGCTGTACATTTGCGCATTTGCGCATTTGTTGTTTTTTGATTTTTGTTTGCGCCAGCGTTGTGTTGAAAGGTTTGTACAGCTTTGGTTTGCAGTTGTTTGTGGCTCTGTTTGTTCGTTTGTTTGTTAATTTGTTGCTGTGTGCACGCACAAAGTAGTTGGCAATAAAACTACAATTACAACTACAAAAACAATAACGTATACGCCCGCTTGTCCGAATTTGTGCATTTATCAAATGCTCAGTGCCCGCAATGGACGCATCGAATTGTTTGCTAAAATATATCTGAACCTAAAATGTATTCAAACCTAAGGCGCTGCGAGCAAGGAAATTAGTGGCGTGACTTATTTATGGTATTTGCCAGCTGTAATGTTAGTGCGCGATTGATTCATGATGTGCCAGGGCAGATGGTTGCTGCCATTGTTTTTTCTTTTTATCATTTCTTTGTGTTGTCTGTTTCGCGGCTGCCGAAATGCCGCTGGTCACTTTCTGTGGGTTTTAATTTATAACCGGACTCCTACAGGTTTTGTTTGTGCAAGCAAAGCGCACTGCGGTTTCAAACAAAGGCCGCGTACTGCTGCTGATTACTTAGGTTCAATCGCTGGTAATTAAGCAATCAGCAGTTTGGGGTATTGTTGCTGCAGCTCCGCCCTTTCATGAACTCATTTTCCAGCGCTGGCATTAATTGTGATTTAGACTCAATAATCGACTCACCATCAAGGAAAAAAGGCCAGTTTTCGAAGAGGAATTGCAGGCGTGTTTAGTGAATAAATTAGCATGAGCCAAATTTTTAGAAAAATGCTTGTTTCTATGCAATTTGATTTGCGTCAATCTTTCATAAAACAAGTAACTGTTCGTATGAATAAATTTTGAAATAAAATATTGAAATGAATTTATTATGACTTTTGCTGTTATTTTTCATTTTTTTTTTTCATTGTATTTTAAATTTTTTATTATTATTATTATTTATTTTTTGTTGCGAAGACATTCTACGTTGAGCTGTTAATGGGTGAATATTAAAAAATAAAACTGCATAAATAACGAATTTTGCGGCTTGATTTGCCTTCGTTCCGGTTATGTCTCTGCGCTATAAAAAGCATTAAGTGTTTTTTTTTTTTCAAAAAGTGTCAAAAGCTGATACATAAAGGTACAGTTAAATTTATTTTTGCGCTTTTTGTGTTAATTATCAAAACATGTTTAAGCTTTAATTAAACACTTTCATATTCTTTTAAAATTTGTCATTCAGATACAGTTTTTAACTTTAATTTTATTTTATTTTTTTAACTTTTAATTTTTTTATTTTTAATTTTTTTATGTATATTGTTATTTTTTTGTTAATATGCATATCTGACAGCAAAAATTGTTTTGTGCACCATAGAGATTTGATGAACGGTTTTTTTGTCATAACATTTTCAACCTCTACAATATACATTAGTTCTTTTAGAATCATTTGAAACACGTTTTCTCTCATCTTTATTCATCTTCTTTTTTTATGCAATTTTGCTGAAAATAATTTTTTTATTACTTTGCTACGCGAACAAAGTCCTAATTAATTCTAAAAGTAGGTGAAGTGGTTTTATAGAAATTCAGGCAGCACCAATTTAGTTGTCATAATAAAATGTACATATACGAGAGGAGGTCAAAATGTTAATCAAATAAGGTGTATAATAATGACTTAATAATGAGGGTTGGACTGAACTTTCGTTATTTTTTAGGGTGGTTTTTTATTTTCTGGAACTATTTTAGATTTTTTTACTTCAAAATACAATTGGAAAAGCCTTACTCAAGCTTTATTAAATTTTGTTTAATTATATCCTGAACAGGGTATATTAAGTTTGCCATGATGTTTGTAAGACCCAAAGGAAAAGTCGGAGACTTTAAAAAATTTCTTTTTCTCCAAGAAACTGCTCCTTTGTGGAAACCGGCCTTATCGCACCACTATAGCATAAATCTTTCATATAAACTGAATGATCGGAATCGAATGCTTGTATAGAAAATTTTTTCATTTTACGAGATTCTATTGAAAATGATCGAAAATCTATATATTATATCATTATTTTATGCCTCAGAAATAACGTCAAAAATTGAGAGGGGTGTGTATAAGAATAATGGGTTGGCTTTATTACTACCTTGTTTGGAAATTTTTTGACAAAGAGGCCGAGCTCACACGCAAGAATAAAACTACTTTAGTTGTTGAATTTTGAAAATAAAATAAAAAATTATTTTCTTTTCTTTCAAATCTTAGCCATTAAAAGATATGTTCCAAAAGCATTTGTCAATGCCTCTATCGTGCTAACTATAATTTATATTAAATTATTTATTTTAAAATTGTATTTTTAACAAAATTTGTTTAATTTTATTGTATGGTATTTTATTTTATATCAATTTTATTTTGTAATACAAAATTATATTATTTTAAAATTAAAAGAAAATATCTGAAAAATCGAAAATATTAGCAAGAATGTTTTTCTGACATTTGTAATTTGGCTACAAATTAATTTAACTAATCATTTTGAGTATTTTTAAAAAATTCAGGAAAATCAAAAATATTAACAAATGGGTTCTCTTGTGACTTCCGCAATATAGCTATAAATAAAACTTTTTCAGAGGCAATCGTGCTATTTTTTACTTTTCCTGAACTCTAAAGAGTGTACTATATATTGACAATAATATCTTCTACCATTTTTGTTTGTTTCGAGTTTTCAATCCACAACTTCCTCCATGCATTCCCTCTCACAAAATCGAAAACCGCGAAATACTCTTCCGACTGCTTCGGTGTGTGCTCGCTAATCTGACCAAACGCTGACTAACAACAACAAAATGTACTTGCAGTCTTCCTTATGAATAGTTGTAACTCGTAATCGTATAAGTAATTGACTCTCTGTTGGCTGGTCGATTAGCTGACTGATAGATTGGCTTTCGGCTACTTTGGCTGAGCCAGCGTTACAAGCATTAGCCAACGTTGCCGTCTGTGTGGCTTTGGAGAGCCTGAATGAAAAGGAAAGGAGTTAACCTTGTGCACGCTAGCCCCGTTACAACAAGTATGTGAGCATATGGCATTACATTCATAAAAGCATATAGCATACACTACAAAAACACACAAGTTTACAAATACACGAATTTATAGATAGAATAAAAAAATCAATATTGATTCGGTAGTGAGCAAATGCTTTTATATGTTTTGTTAAAAATAAGAATTAATGTATATATAACCAGATATATATGCACACAAATATATTTGTAATTATCTCAACATTATACTTGTAGTATCTGAGATGAGAGTAGTTGTGATTCCTATTAGTACCTTAGCAGGCACATGCTTAAATACTGTTACTATGGAAATATGATGCGTTTAATTTTTGTTTTGCGTGATAAATATTCGTTAATTAACAGTTGTGTTAGGACACTGATTTAATCGAATTTCTGTACATATTTATTATTTTGTAAATTCGGTGCTTATTAGTAAAAAAGTATAATCTAACGAAATTCAATTCATATGATTGGCACTCCCATTGACCATTGGCAAAGTGATGGTCGGAAATACACTTAGACAAATCATTGGAAAGTAAATAAAGTCAGTTAATATATTTGTAATAATATCAACTTAATTATAATTTAAGCCACATTATTCCATTCCATAGATGATTTAATATTTAAATGATGAGACATTTGAAGTTTCCTTAAATAAATGTGTATTTACTTGGTTGTTTTTAGACTTTTCCTACCAGGACATATAATACTATAACAAAATAGTCACCGCACTTTTTCTAAATCTCGAAACACTTTTTATATGGACTTTTTCTTTGACCTTGACCTGGAAATCTTCGAAGATCGTCATATTTGCCTGCTCATTTGCTACAAATTTTGACGGTTATCTTTAAAGTTATTCGAGACATTCAGTCATATTCGACTTTAATTAGTATTCAGTAAATTTTGTAAAATAGAATGTCGTATATACTGAATTACTGTTAGAGAAGAAGCTTGTTAGATAACTCTAAGCTATGCTTAGAATTCAATTCACACAAATTGCTCACAGTGTAAATTATAATTGAAATGTTAAATGACAAATATCAGAGTAATATCAACTTAAGCTAATGATGCAAAAAAATTAAATAAAATTGTTGAGCAAATCCAATCATATTCACACAAACACATATATATGTTTACGTGTGTATAAGTATCGGTGAAAATTTTTTTATAAAGTGATAAACGTTTTCTTTAACCATCTAGGGGCATTGCATGTTGTCCACAAAGAACATGAACGAAGCAAAGCAACAACTTATTTAGTGAATGGCTTTAATGGCTTTACAGTTTTAACATTTGTAGTTACAACAAAAAATATGACTTACACACATGCCGGGCGAACCGTTTTCGAGGCAAATAAGCCATTTAAAGCAGCAAAGGTGCTACTTCTTATGTCAGCTGTGAGGCTACTATACGTCATGGTGCACATAAATGCGAGTTTGAACGGTTTGAAATTGAATTCGAAATTTTATTTCATTGAAATTATTTGAACTTTTCGAATAAATATGAGTTGCTGTTTAAGTAAAAGTTAAAATTCTTGAGCATTGTACTGTGACCATAAATCGAATGCCAATAAAAGAAGTAGATGAACTCAAATTTACAACAGTAATATAAATATTAATAGCTACCGATATACGAATGGCAAAATGTTTCTATATAAGTTTCGATTTCCAAATGTGCCAGCACGTTAAGTGCGCTCAATTCGGTTATATAAAATTTTTTTTTTTTTAATATTTATTTTTTTTGTGGCAGCGCTAACCACGCAGCAGTATCATATTATTTTAATCACTGTAATTAAGATGAGATTTTTGGGCGCGTATCAATGTTGGTGACACTCCGCAGTGTACGTGCATGGATAATGAAACCAGAATGCGGTAAGCAGTTTATGAAACCCGCTAAACCAATTTAGTATGCAACAAAATATGCATGAACCTACAACTAGTTCTCGTTTGTTTGTGAAGCTGTCCGCTCGCTGAGTTGTGCTCAAGACAGCTATTGCACAATTTCCTAACCCAAATGTAATACTAAACTATAAAGGAGATAAACGTCAAATTGTTTAAATTTAAAATATTGTACATATATGTATGTATGTAGGTATAAATGTCTCAAGAACGTAGCTGAGTAGCTCAAGCGGTGTATCAACTATAACGGTTACATTACAGTAGTTATTAGTGTTGAAAAATGTTATTTAAATCAATTCCAGAAAATGGAGAAAAATCGTTAACTTCGACTGCACCGAAGCTATAATACCCTTCCTACAACGATCCGACGCAGCTTTTTGGCGATAAAAGTACGTGTGTAAGTTTCAGATCGATATCTCGAAAACTGAGAAACTAATTCATATATGCCTACATATATGTTACAAATTTAGTATACCCTATTAAGGGTATAAAAAGAGTAAGGAAGTACGAGCGCATCATAACATGAGATACCCTAATAATTTGAAAGAATTGTTAGGTCTCCGAATTTTACAAAATTATTTCATACAAAATATATATAAGTATAAATACTAGCCGATGAGGATTTTCTCCCAGTTATACTAATACTTACAGAATTAGGCTATTCAGAGGGCTGAAATTAATAATATAGCATATATGGAGTTAAAAGGGGGTTTAAACCGATTTGAAAACACACCAAATAAAGCTTAGAGAAACATGTTCTTCTATTTCACTAAGTTATCTTTCATTATCTCAGATACTTTTATATTTGACTTGAAGTCGATCGAAGGAACGGACTCTTTCATATCCAGTCAAGAGAGTTAAAACGTATGACTCGACATTTTTTAATTATACTATATACCAAAAGTTATATCTACTAAGTTTTGAGAATTTTTATACACATGACAAAACAAAAACAACGTTTTCGCGTATTTTAAAACCACTCTTTATTATATAATAGGCTCAACAACCAACACAAGCATGTCAAAGCTTAATCCAATTTCCGTACACTTGTTTTAAGCCTCGGTTGGGATGGCCTGTCGTGCCTTCAGCGAATTTGATTTTTTTTCGGTTGCGGTTGAGTTTTGGAACGCCAACCGCTAGATTGTTATTAGTTTTGACGTCGTATTCATAAATCAACGTCTTGTTATCAGTAATGATACGATTGAGGAGGGTTCCAGCAACG